GCTGAAGTGAGGGTTGGGCCGAAATCCAACTGAGAATGGACTGGGATTAGTCTGTCCCCCAAAATTGAACCCAGCCCAACTCACCCTATTTAATAACCATCTTTTCCTTTTTCTAAGAAATATTTAATAACCATCTTAATTAAGTTTGACATAAGCGCAACTCCATTTTTTTCTTCGGATTCTTTTTGGTTAAAGAAACATTTTAAAGTTCTTTTTTATTTTTTACTTTTGGTCAAGAGAGGTTCAGTCAGGGTTCATTCAGCACAAATTAATTAATAGTTTTGTCAAAAAAATATAGTTTTTTAATATTAATTATTATTAAAAAAATAAAAATTATTATTGATTTTATCATTAGTGTTATATAAATTATTTTAATTAAATAATTATTTAAATAAATATTAATTTATATTTTTTTAATAACAATTAATGAAAATATGTAATGATTACGTTTTTAACTTGTAATTTTAAAAATATAAAATAAAATTTTTTTAAAGTAATTAATTAATTTATTTATTTATTTATATTTTTATATTAACTTTTACATATTTTAAAATTAATCACTTATCAAATAATTTATAGGGTTGACGATGCTTAATACAATAGATTTTAGGGCTTCACCGGCTTTACGTCTATTTATTTAAGGCCATTTTAGATGTGTTAAAATCTAAGGGTATGTTTGATGTAACTTTCAAAATGTTTTAGGTTTTTTATATTATTTATATTTTATAAGTTTAAATTTTTTAAAAAAAATTATATTTTTAAATATTTTTATAATCTTAAAAAGATTTTAAATAATAAAAAATCAAAAATTTTAAATTTAAACTTTTTATAAATTTATTTTTTATTTTTTTATTTTTAAAAATAATTTTTAAAATTTTATTTCAATAAAAATTTAAACTTATCATTTATAAACAATAAAAAAAATTTCAACAAATTACACCAAAAAAGCAGTAAGTAACAACACTTAACGAATCGGACCTTTAGCCACAAAGCCGACGTGTCAAGATGGTAGAGGCCCTCCAACAAACGTTTAATACAAACCCACGTGAACCATCTACCCATCTCCAATTTCCCTACCTACCACCAATGTTAGAAGAAGGACAACCCCGGCCGGTTTATAAAACAAGCCGTTTCGTGCTTTCATTGATAATATCTAACGTCTCAGGTGTATTCATTTCCGATCCAATTGCAAAATGCCTTCCACATCATCTGTCACCGAGGTCCAAGTCGAGACCTTTACGTTTCCGCCGTCAGTGAGGCCGCCTGGTTCAACCAAATCTCATTTTCTCGGTGGCGCAGGTTAGTAAATCTACTACCAACCACAACCACACTGTTTGTTTTGATCGTCTCATGATTTTGATTCGTAGTGGCTCTAACTTGAATACAGGGGAAAGGGGTTTGGAGATTCAAGGCAAGTTCATCAAGTTCACGGCGATCGGGGTGTACCTCGAAGACGTCGCCGTGCCGTCGCTCGCTGATAGGTGGCGTGGCAAGACTGCCGTGGAGCTGACTGAATCCGTTGAGTTCTTTAGAGACATTGTTACAGGTAACAAATGTTTTCCTTATTTTGTTTTCTATAATGAGCATTGACTAATTGATATTTACCATTTTTAGATTTAAAAAGTCTAAAAACTTTGATATTACCATTATTTAAACCTTTGAATTTATGAAATTAACAACTTAATTTATGTAGCGTACCTTATATAGAACCAATTAAGAATTGGCATTTCATGCTATTTTGCAATTGAGATTTGTTTATAATTTATATTGTTAGAAAGAATGGGGAAAGTTTGGGTCAATAGAAATATTTAATTCCAAGAATAACCTCACCATAAAACTTGTGGCTGAGATGGATCATGCAAGTTGTCACAAAAGGCCAAACGAAACCAATGTTTTTAAATTCGAACCGGAGGTCAAACCGTTTTGACTATTGGTTCACAATTTGATTGGTTTAACTGGTTTAATCAGTAATACCATCGGTTTATTAATATAGTACAAATATATTATTTTGTAAAGTATTTCATAAGATATCCATTGAGTGCGATGGTATGCGGTTGTTTTCTCATATCAAAGATCACAGGTTCTGAGTACCCTTGTGAACTAACTTTAAATAATTATGGTTTTAAAAATAGACTAAATAAAATTTCAAGCATCCATTGACAAATAGAGTGCATTGTCCTGGTGGCAAAGGATTGGAATAAATTAAAAGGACTTCAAGATTGCAAGTTCAAGCTTCATGGGGGACAAATTTCTCAAGCTTTTGTTCTCAAGCATTGAACCGTCCGGTCGAATAGTTTTTCGGTTTCAACGGTTTTTATCGGTTTTCAAACGATTTGATCTTCAAATGATTTAAAAAATAAAACCAAACTATTTATACTATCGGGTACCGATTCAACTGGTTTGACCGGTCGATCCGATCCGATTTTCAAAACCTTGATCGAAACCTTAGGGAGTTAGTGGTCAGTGGCCTTAACTACCTGTTTGAATTAGAAGCCCGATATTAATTCACTTTAGGTCCCTGGGTTTTTCCTGAAATATCAAAAGGGCGTCGTTAATCTGATTTATTTTTTTAAAGAAAGATTGGCATAAAATTAGCAAGAATTCTCAAATTCACTCTAAAAATTGCATCGTAGGTATATATGGATGTATCTCTAAATAAAAAATAAAAATAAATCTACTTCTAAAACTTTTAATTTAGATAAATTACTTAAATTTAATGTGACATTATTTAATATCAACAATTCATTAACAATAAATTTATCGACAATATAATAAATTAACAAATTAATAACATCAAATAACATTACATGTTAAATTTATAATAATTTATTTAAATAAAAAATTTTAAAAACAAAATCATTTTCATTTTTATTTAAAGGTGAATCTGTCTTTCATATTTAATTTTGAAAGTAAATTTGAGTATACCTTTAAAATTTTATCAATTTTGATCTTTTACATGTTAAATTTATAATAATTTATTTAAATAAAAAATTTTAAAAACAAAATCATTTTTATTTTTATTTAAAGGTGAATCTGTCTTTCATATTTAATTTTGAAAGTAAATTTGAGTATACCTTTAAAATTTTATCAATTTTGATCTTTTAATTGATGATTTCAATCAAAGTGACAAACATTGACTGAACAACAACATTTCAATATAACCACGAACCATTTAAGTTTTTGACAATTGAACAAATGTTATTATTAAATCTTAGGTCCCTTTGAGAAGTTCATACGGGTGACAATGATCTTACCATTAACGGGACAACAGTACTCAGAGAAGGTTACAGAGAACTGTGTGGCCATTTGGAAATCTCTTGGAATTTACACCGATGCAGAAGCCAAAGCCATTGAGAAATTCATTGAAGTCTTCAAGGATGAAACCTTCCCACCGGGCTCCTCTATTCTCTTCACAGTATCCTCTAATGGATCTTTAACCGTAAGTAGAAAAATTTTCAAAAAAACCAACTTGGTTTTATGCCTATTTTGTTGAGAATTGACTACAGAGTTACTAATTGTTTGTGATGTATGATTGTGTTAATCAGATTGGGTTTTCTAAAGATGGGACCATCCCAGAAGTTGGGAGTACAGTGATAGAAAACAAACTATTGGCTGAGGCTGTTTTGGAGTCGATAATCGGAAAGCATGGTGTCTCCCCTGCAGCAAAGCAGAGTTTGGCAGCAAGACTTCCAGAGTTGTTGAAAGATGGGGACGAGAAGTTAGCTGGAAACGGAAAAGCCTAATCTTAGTAGTTTTCAAAGGAAGTAAGATTAATCATCTGAATAATTAATTTGAGGATAAGCGTGTCTACTAATGTATTGGAAGTGAAAAATGCTAAGAAAAGAGAGATGTTTTTTCTGCATTTTGCTTGGTTTTTACGTTTTGGTAAAAACATAAATAAAAAAAAAAATGGGGAAAGGAGAAATCAGTTCGAGCTAATCAGCCGCACAGATTTTCCTTTTATTCCAG